GTCTCATTTCGTGCACCATTATGTACAATTGTATACAGAATTTTACAGACAACAAAATATCGACAACAGACACATCGACTTGCTGGAATCTGTTGAAAGCGTAATAGACACACAACAACAGAACAAAACGATTATCTCTTTATTACGCTATGTGTGTCTGTAGGCTGTGTGTTCGTACTGATTTCAGCAGGCAGTAGGATATTTCTAGCGGGATAAATAACTCATCGCATGCCGTAATAAATAACGTTGCCTGCTGAGAGCAGTACAAACAAAATACATGTTTGTTAGGCGCCGTATAGCAATGTCACGACATACATCCATACGAATGTATGCGAATGTAATACACGGTATACGGCGCGAACATATAGTTAATCATTGTTGTCAGAATGGCCCTTTACAAAGCATCATATTCATGCATAGTTTGGTTTTTCGGTCGTGGCGTTTTCGCAAATGCAAACAAAATAATGTGTTATCCTCACAGGTCCAATCCGGTTGACAAGTTATAAAACCCTCTTCGTCCAATTGATGCGAGGCGACCCGTTTCATATCGACTTCGATATTCTCTTCGCCCGTTTTTTCATTTTTCCTCTTGATGCCGAATCGAATGTCATGGTCGAACGTTCGAAATTCCCACCTTCAAGAGAAAACAAAGAGGTTTTTCGAATATCAATTTTTCCCCGCCTTGGAATCACATCAGGGAATGATATAGAATGAAATGATGAATGGTAACTTTACTCACTTGAGAGCACATCCAGATTCCATACCTAGAGAAAAAGAAAAGGGAGCAAAAGAAAAAAATAAAAATAATTTAAAATTATCAACAAATATTCAAAATAAATATTCCGTACATTTAAATTCCAATTTTATTTTCGAGCCTTTCTTTATAATAGTATCGATAAAGTCCTCATTGTTATTGTCTTTTTCATCACGCATTACATACATCTCTTTCGGAATTTTTCCACCCCAATTCAACTGAAAATGTTATATTGATAAGAAAAAACAAAATTATATTCAAGAAACTTGAAAAGAATGAGGAAGATTGTGCGTTATATATTTATATTTTGTGACCAATATAAGTAAATGGTCTGATTTATTGTCAACCAATAATGAAGACGCCATCTAGGCAATTCCATACTCAAACTAAACTGATAATAACAGTGGTTATTGCAAGCATATAGCGATTCGAAGCATTAATTTTGACCTTTTTTTATCATATTGCAAATATATCTTTATTTTACTCATAGATTGACACCCAATTTTACCTTGTGCATACATTTCGGGTCACCGTCTTCATCTGTTTGAGTTCCACCAAAATACTTTGGTATTTGCGATGGATCGATATGTTCAAGCATTTTAGGCAACCATTTTTTTGAATCTTGCTTGAAAATTAGAATTTTACCCAACGTATATTCGTCCAAAAATCTCTTTACAATATTGAACACAATAGCAAACACCTTCGGCACTGTTGGGTATATAGAATAATATAAAATTTGTTATTTCAAGTATACACATAAAATGATGAGAGAGAATGAGAGATAGAGATAGAAAGTCGAAGCGACTGTAAAAAGTAAATGAAAAAAATGACATGGAAATGGTGAAAAATAGCTTCATATGCATACCATTGATTATGTAGCAATATTTAAGGATTTCCGGGTAGTTTGCTTCGTAGCTTTTTATGAGTGAAATGACCACTTCGGCGGCTAGCAAAATTTATATAAACATGTGTTTAATAAATATGTGTTAACATCATACAATCTATGCGATCATAAAAGTAACAATGAAATTCATATCACTGCTGTTGTGAATGTGTGTTAACTTACCTGGACGCCATGTATACTGTTTCACATTAAATCCAGCCATATCAAATAAAACAACAAACTGTCTGGCCTGAGGCCCATGCTTGATACTCTGTTCAAATGCAAGGTTCATATACTTTTCCAATATTTTAATCGTTGATCGAATGAAATCTGCACGGCTCACCGTATGCAGCATACCTAAGGAAAAAATCATAAAAGAATTAGTGAATAGTAGAAAATAATCAATATAATATACAGGGTGTCTCATATAAGTGGCTCACTACGGAGGATATAAATTTTATTTTTTTCTTCTGTTGGTATAATTTTTAAAAATGTGCTCCGATAGAAATTCAGCAAATAAATTTCTGTGAACAAAAGAGAAAAACGAAATTTATTCCCTCAGTAGTGAGCCACTTATATGAGACAGGATATGTGAAATATTTCCTAATGAAATATGATGTCAGCATCAATAAATTATTATGGAAAATTAGAATGCTACACTCTTATATCGGTGGTATTAATATTTAGTAATTTGGGATTTTCAGCTACGATTAATCCAAAAGGACTAAAAAGTAATCCAATGGGATCATTTTATATTTTCTAACTTGAGTTCAATAAACACTTTTTTGTTGTTTGTAAAAAAATATCTCAAAATGAATCTTCCTTTGGAACACTGTTTCATATTGTATTGACATTTACATGAAACTTCAAATGCTTGTCATTG